TCATCTCTGGGTATAGTTGAGGTGTGGATGTTGTCACGTGTGTCTCTTAGTCGTCATCTCTGGGTATAGATGAGGTGTGGATGTTGTCACGTGTGTCTCTTAGGCGTCATCTCTGGGTATAGTTGAGGTGTGGTTGTGGATGCTGTCACGTGTGTCTCTCAGGCGTCATCTCTGGGTATAGTTGAGGTGTGGATGTTGTCACGTGTGTCTCTTAGTCGTCATCTCTGGGTATAGATGAGGTGTGGATGTTGTCACGTGTGTCTCTTAGGCGTCATCTCTGGGTATAGTTGAGGTGTGGATGTTGTCACGTGTGTCTCTTAGTCGTCATCTCTGGGTATAGTTGAGGTGTGGATGTTGTGACGTATGTCTCTTAGGCGTCATCTCTGGGTATAGATGAGGTGTGGATGTTGTCACGTGTGTCTCTTAGGCGTCTTCTCTGGGTACAGTTGAGATGTGGATGTGGATGTTGTCACGTGTGTCTCTTAGGCGTCATCTCTGGGTATAGATGAGGTGTGGATGTTGTGACGTGTGTCTCTTAGGCGTCATCTCTGGGTATAGATGAGGTGTGGATGTGGATGTTGTGACGTGTGTCTCTTAGGCGTCATCTCTGGGTATAGATGAGGTGTGGATGTTGTCACGTGTGTCTCTTAGGCGTCATCTCTGGGTATAGATGAGGTGTGGATGTGGATGTTGTGACGTGTGTCTCTTAGGCGTCATCTCTGGGTATAGATGAGGTGTGGATGTGGATGTTGTGACGTGTGTCTCTTAGGCGTCATCTCTGGGTATAGATGAGGTGTGGATGTTGTGACGTGTGTCTCTTAGGCGTCATCTCTGGGTATAGATGAGGTGTGGATGTGGATGTTGTGACGTGTGTCTCTTAGGCGTCATCTCTGGGTATAGATGAGGTGTGGATGTTGTGACGTGTGTCTCTTAGGCGTCATCTCTGGGTATAGATGAGGTGTGGATGTGGATGTTGTGACGCGTGTCTCTTAGGCGTCATCTCTGGGTACAGTTGAGGTGTGGATGTGGATGTTGTGACGTGTGTCTCTTAGGCGTCATCTCTGGGTATAGATGAGGTGTGGATGTTGTCACGTGTGTCTCTTAGTCGTCATCTCTGGGTATAGATGAGGTGTGGATGTTGTGACGTGTGTCTCTTAGGCGTCATCTCTGGGTATAGTTGAGATGTGGATGTTGTCACGTGTGCCTCTTAGACGTCTTCTCTGGGTACAGTTGAGGTGTCGATGTGGATGTTGTCACGTGTCTCTTAGTCGTCATCTCTGGGTATAGATGAGGTGTGGATGTTGTCACGTGTGTCTCTTAGGCGTCATCTCTGGGTATAGTTGAGGTGTGGATGTTGTCACGTGTGTCTCTTAGTCGTCATCTCTGGGTATAGTTGAGGTGTGGATGTTGTGACGTATGTCTCTTAGGCGTCATCTCTGGGTATAGATGAGGTGTGGATGTTGTCACGTGTGTCTCTTAGGCGTCTTCTCTGGGTACAGTTGAGATGTGGATGTGGATGTTGTCACGTGTGTCTCTTAGGCGTCATCTCTGGGTATAGATGAGGTGTGGATGCTGTCACGTGTGTCTCTTAGGCGTCATCTCTGGGTATAGATGAGGTGTGGATGTTGTGACGTGTGTCTCTTAGGCGTCATCTCTGGGTATAGATGAGGTGTGGATGTGGATGTTGTGACGTGTGTCTCTTAGGCGTCATCTCTGGGTATAGATGAGGTGTGGATGCTGTCACGTGTGTCTCTTAGGCGTCATCTCTGGGTATAGATGAGGTGTGGATGTGGATGTTGTGACGCGTGTCTCTTAGGCGTCATCTCTGGGTACAGTTGAGGTGTGGATGTGGATGTTGTGACGTGTGTCTCTTAGGCGTCATCTCTGGGTATAGTTGAGGTGTGGATGTTGTCACGTGTGTCTCTTAGGCGTCATCTCTGGGTATAGATGAGGTGTGGATGTTGTCACATGTGCCTCTTAGACGTCTTCTCTGGGTATAGTTGAGGTGTGGATGTTGTGACGTATGACCCCAAAGCGTTTCTTCTGGGTATAGTTGGGATAATAGTAAACAGTTCGATTGAACAATATCATATAGCAGAGAAAGTGGTGTTGACTTACTGGAACCAAATTTGATAGGCGTGCCAATTTGCCCGAGCGTAGTCCCCCTTTAATTAGACGTGTTCTTATCCTTTGTTTTTAATCATACACGATCCGTTCGTGTCTTGGTCTGGTGATGAATTTAGAAGACTAGTTTTCGGAAGGATTAAGGTTATTTTTTACACATCAAACACCACGAACATGTTAGAGCTGTCAAGTCTTTGAGCAAAATATCCAGGGTTCACGAAGAGGCTCAAAGAGACAGCTTAGGTCTCGGGAATGTTCTACCGGCAAAAAATCTTACAACAAACAAGTGAACGTCAAAGTACAAGTCAATGGGGTATTGTAGACACTCAGAAGCTGAAATAATGACTCGCTTAGCCAGAACGAGGTTGACAAAACACGTTCCCGATATAGAACCCACTTAGAAAGTCAATTCGCTATCAACGCAGAGATGATAATGACTTGCAAATACATGTCACTTTTTGTGACTCTTCTATAGCACTTTCTGTGATAGCGTCGCGCTGAGCACTATGTCGGTCTATACGTTATAGGAGGGTACGTTTTATCACTAAGGTACGTCGCAAGGCGCCAATAATTGTCATATTATCGTGGTTGCTGTATATTACGATGAGGCGTCAATCGGTCCGTTCTGTCTATCATGTCGCACACGGTTTCTCCGAAATTAATATAATCAATAAAATTGTAAAAAAAATTAATTAATGAAATGAAGACTTTATGATACAAAATAGTGCAAATTGGGACTAACTTCTGTACTTTAGCACAGATTTTATGCTGTGTCCGATGCCATCTGCTGGCGCTAATGTTTCCACCGAGGGAATACAAAACACCTCGTCGCTTTTGAGTGAGTGAGTTAATTTGGTTAACGCCGCTTTGAACAGTATTCGGTAATATCACGGCATGTCAGTCTGAGGTAGTGTTAGACGTTTACCACTTTGGTATAAAACACGAGCTCGGTTATGGTGTTTAGAGCCCCAAGAACGCAAGACTAACACTTCGTCCCAGAAATAAAATCATATATATATACTATATATACTAAATCCAAAATAAAATCCAAATGGAGCCCAGGACATTACTTAATATCAGAGCTGAAGCAATCTAGACTTGCCAAATCATTCCAGACTTGATTTGCATTCCTTTTTAATTTATTCTCTTGGGTGAGAGAGACGTACCAAACGAACCCTTGATCATGGGTTTCTTGTCCGTGGAGATCCGGGTTTGCGGTAAAAGCAACTATGCTTGTCGTAAGACATCTTCTCGAGGCAAGCGTGTCCACTAGCCTGTATCAAAGCCTAGTTTCTACAACTGAAACAAGACTTTGATAAAAAGGCTAGTGGACGCTCTTGCCTCGAGAAGATGGTTATAAGAGGCGACTAACGGGATCGGGTGGTCAGGCTCGCTGACTTGGTTGATGCATGTCATCGTATCCCAATTGCGTGAATCGATGCTCATGATGTCAATCATTGGATTGTCTGGTCCAGACTCGATTATTTACAGACCGCCGTCACATAGCTTGAATATTGCTGATTGTGGTGTTAAACAACAGACAAACACACAAACAAATCATAGGTTTCTGCTAGCCTAAGGAAAGAAACTCTGCACAGCCTTAGATGACTGGGACACCCGTGGCCCCGCTAGCCTAAGGAAAGAAACTCTGCACAGAGAATTGCTGCGCCTGAGACGACAGAGACACCAGTGTCTTCTGCGTTTTGAATTCGTGCAGTAAGAGGTGGAAGGTAGTACTCCGTCTTGGGTTGTATGAATTAACATTTCATTATTCATAATCTTGCCTGATATATGACCATTTTAACTAAACAAAGCCAGGTGAATGTTTTGTTTGGACAAAAAATGTGTTCAAGTACTATTGGAAACGCCAGGTTTTCATAAATTAAACATGTTCGATGTTTGTTTGAATTAACCTTTTAGTATTAATCAGCTTGCCTAATATGACAACTGAGCTAAGCAAAGGTACAAATTTTGTTTAGAAAGTAATCTAATCCAGAAGAACTGAATAAAATAAGGTGGCGTCAGGTCTTCAAATAAAAAACTGTTTGATGGACGCCCTGAAAACAGTTTGGTTGTGAAATAAAAACATGCTCAGCTCCTCCCTGAGAAAACATGTTTGTCTAGAAGCAGTGTTCGAAAAGAGATGTCTCTCACAAAACTTCTAGCTTCTAAATGTGTCATTAAACTATTTAATAAACTTCACAGGGGACTGAATACGATTTAGCAGGAGTCGTTGACTTTTAATTTATTTAATTTGAATTATTTGATCAATATATTTAATTTCTTATATTAATTCAAAAGTGATCACTGTAAGAATTACTGTAGTTCTAAAGGGGGTAGGCCAGTTGTGGTTACATAGTCCCTGTATCTATTTTGGGCTCAGACAGTACGCAGTTATAATAAACTGAGCTCTTTTCTGGCGGTTTGTGAATAAAATTTTAAGTTTAGGTAATAAAATGTTTAATGACAGTTTAATACTGGAGAAATGAATTAATTATTGTTTTAATTAAAAACTAGCAACACGGTGTAATTCCATTTGAAGGTTTACATAACTGATTCAAGTGAACATAAAATAATATATCTAAAATAAAAGTTTTTTTTACAATTTCAAGAACAAACGGCAAGGTATAATTAAACAAAAACGTACCCCACTTGTGTACTTCAATCATTGCGACAGATCGAACATATACGGGTCAGCTATAAATGTTATGTACGGCTATTCAAAATAATCAGAGCTTAGAGCGACCGTTATGGTCAATCGGATCACCCCAATCCCTTACATGCCAGTGTGGGTATTGATCTGTTAGCGGAATAACATAGCCCGATTAGACCCGAGTGCCGTTATGTTTATATTCAGAGTGAACTCCCTTTGGAAACTCTTGCGCGCACCTGCTTGTTGACAATTCCCGTTGCTAGCGACGAAACGTGTATGTCGCTAGGGAAGCAACTTGAGAAAGTTTGGCAGGGTTCTCAGACTGAAATCACTGTAGACGAAGATGTATGCGAGTGGAGGTCTCTCTAGCGCCATTCAGACGGCAAAGAAAGACATCGGTGAAATTTTACAGAGCGGAAAGTATTACTGCAATGAGGAGATCGCACGGGAACTGACAGCTGTCACGAATGGCCTCAATCACATGAAGTTAGATGACAGGCTCCTCTCAACCTCCCCAGAGTGGCGGGGCAGCAAGGGCGCCATGGCCACAACTACGGTTCCTGGTAAGTCCTTGCTTCTCCGGTGCTCTTATTACAGTTTTCAGAATATTTTATATGTCATAAATTATTTTCCTACATTTTTCACAAATATTGTTAAATGACAGTTGTTTTTGTTGGGGTGACGTGCACTTACATGGCGACGTGAGTGTGTGTGTGTGTGTGTGTGTGTGTGTGTGTGTCTACGCTCGTGCTTGTACTAGTCCTGACAACCGCCGTCATATAGCTGGACTATTGCTGAGTGCGGCATTATAGAATAACACACAAACTAGCTAGTCCTTGAGTTTATACTAGTGCTAGGCCACTGACATACCACATCGCATTTTTAACATGAATACCAAACTCAAACACAGTATACTGATTCTGAGCTGGCCAGTCCTTACATATTTTACCCCTTTTAATGCCAAACACCAGGCAGGGTAACAACAAGTATCATCTTCTGACGCATTTTGGTTTAGGGCCCCGTTCCACAAAGCGATCTTAGTGCTAAGAGTCTATGTTAAAGTATGGGAGTTACGATCGTCTTAGCGCTACGATCGCTTTGTGGAACAGAGCCCAGGGATTGAAACCCCGACCTTCTGTTGTCCAGGCAGATGCTCTATCCACTAGACCGTGGAGACAGTCAGTTGTATTTCAACTCTTGATATCATTGACATTCATTTATTACAACTCTTTAGCTCTAGGTATAAGTATTGTTTTAATAGAGAAACAGACACATGGTGGTGTCAAATATTATTTGATGTATCTATAACATGCTGCATGTCAGTGGTATGAAGTGATGTATTTCCTAGATGTGTTGTCAGTGGTATAACTTATTGTATTTCCTAGATGTGATGTCAGTGGTATAACTTATTGTATTTCCTAGATGTGATGTCAGTGGTATAACTTACTGTATTTCCTAGATGTGATGTCAGTGGTATAACTTACTGTATTTCCTAGATGTGATGTCAGTGGTATAACTTACTGTATTTCCTAGATGTGATGTCAGTGGTATAACTTACTGTATTTCCTAGATGTGATGTCAGTGGTATAACACACTGTATTTCCTAGATGTGATGTCAGTGGTATAACATACTGTATGTCCTAGATGTGATGTCAGTGGTATAACTTACTGTATTTCCTAGATGTGATGTCAGTGGTATAACTTACTGTATTTCCTAGATGTGATGTCAGTGGTATAACTTACTGTATTTCCTAGATGTGATGTCAGTGGTATAACACACTGTATTTCCTAGATGTGATGTCAGTGGTATAACTTACTGTATTTCCTAGATGTGATGTCAGTGGTATAACATACTATATGTTCTAGATGTGATGTTGGTGGTATAACTTACTGTATTTCCTAGATGTGATGTCAGTGGTATAACTTACTGTATTTCCTAGATGTGATGTCAGTGGTATAACATACTATATGTTCTAGATGTGATGTTGGTGGTATAACTTACTGTATTTCCTAGATGTGATGTCAGTGGTATAACTTACTGTATTTCCTAGATGTGATGTCAGTGGTATAACTTACTGTATTTCCTAAATGTGATGTCAGTGGTATAACATACTATATGTTCTAGATGTGATGTCAGTGGTATAACTTACTGTATTTCCTAGATGTGATGTCAGTGGTATAACTTACTGTATTTCCTAGATGTGATGTCAGTGGTATAACTTACTGTATTTCCTAGATGTGATGTCAGTGGTATAACTTACTGTATTTCCTAGATGTGATGTCAGTGGTATAACTTACTGTATTTCCTAAATGTGATGTCAGTGGTATAACACACTGTATTTCCTAGATGTGATGTCAGTGGTATAACATACTGTATATTCTAGATGCGACATCAGTGGTGGGCCGAGTGTCCGGCATCCTCTACAACTACAAGAACCAGATGGAGGGCAGCAGGATGGCCGAGAAGCAGGAGAACGAGATCCGAGAGATGCATCAGTGGGCTGTCACAAACCTCAGGAATTCACAAAAGGTTCGTCATACTTTTATTTCTTGTTTCGGGATATTGTTTTAAAGGAGGTTAGTAAGTTGAAAATAAGATTAAGCTAATACTAATTTTATTGACGAATCAAATTATAATTATATTAAATGAAAGAACATACTTTCATGTCAATAAACACAACGTAAAACCGTAACATACTACTTGAAGTTAACACAAAGGTATATGAATGAGGAGTATGGTAGTGCAATAAATCAAAGGTTACTGATGGAATTTGCAGGTCATAATACTTAATAGGTACCTAGAACCTCATGCTTACATGACCGCCTCTGTGGTCTAGTGGTAGAGTGCCCGCCTGGAGAGCGGAAGGTCTGGGGTTCGATCCCCGGGCGAGTCATATCTAAAGACGTTTAAAGATGGTACTTGTTGTTACCCTGTCTGGCGCTCGGCATTAAGGGGCAAGAACAAGGACTGGTTGGCTCGGAGTCAGTATACTGTGTCTGAGTTGGGTATTCATGTTAAACTGCTAAATTTCAGTGAACTAGCGCAATAAATCGGCATCAATCCGGATTATTACAAGCAGACACACACACGTGCATGCACGTCGCTATAAAAGTGCAATAATCTTGGACTCGATGTTAAACCTAATTTCACCTCACCTCATGCTTACATAATCAAAGGGAGATAACTATACATTATAACACAAACACGAGCAGGGCCATGTTCCACATTGGGTAACTCAGGACCTTGACATTGACTTGTGGCCATTGTAGCAAAGTGTAACATAGCTTTGAGTACTTCAAACTGCTGGCCTAGTACAACTGACAGAACTATTTACCAGGGCTGGGACGGGTAACTCGGGTACCAGGGTTGGGTGGGTACTGAATAGGACCCGGGTACCCACAGGACTACCCGGACCCGTGGTTAATCACGTGATATATTGTTTATTGACAAAAATTATCAAGAACTCTATGGTTACACTACAAGTCACTAATGTTTGCATTTCTTTCTGACTATGCACCCATTCCTTTCGATTTTTCATATGGTTGAATAAAGATATAACTTAATTCAACTTCAGTGTATGAATGACCAGGTTGTTTAATACATGTATCTAAATACGTTTTGCCAGGGCTATTCTAAAAATGTTCCCCATCGGACATCTTGAGACATCTCCTGAGTCTTACAGTGGGTACCCGGGTAGGGTCGGGTAATAGGGGGGTGGGTACCCGGGTAATAGATTTGGACTCGTCCCAGCCCTACTATGTACCAGGGTTTACACAATGCAGAACTGTGCGTACACTACACACAAATGTCGAGAGCGAGTGAGTATGGTTTTACTGGGCTTTTAGCAACATTCCAGTAATATACCGGCAGGGGGACACCAGAAATGGGCTTCACCCATGTACCCATAAGGGGAATCGAACCCGGGCCTTCGGCGTGACGAGCAACTCTTTAATCACTAGGCTACCCGACCACCCCCTACAAATGCAATGAATGGATGCAGGAAAACATTGTAGTGCATTCCGAGGGACACATGGTAACAATACCAAATTCTTGACAAGAAATATAATGGTCCTGTACAGCCCCATCTAAGACGCCCAAATTGCATCCCATGGGTGTGCCATTGTGGGTTCGAATCCCGGTTCGCCCCAATTATGTGTCCAGGTTTGTCAGCACCATACCTGTGCTCGTGGGTTCACCAAAGTGGTAAACGTCTGAGACCTGCATCGCTTCCTCCCACACCAAGCTGACATGCCGTGATAAAACTGTAACAGAAATACTGTTCAAAGTGGCGTTAAACCAAACACCCTATTCTATATCTGTAGGACATGATGCCATACACACTGACCGCTGCTGACAGGATCCGGCAGTTTGGTGACCACATTGGCGTCACTGACCGCTTCACCGGATACCGCAACAACCTCACCCGCACAGCCAGAGAACCCGACCCCACCATGTGGGCAGGAAGGCCTGGAGGTCTCACACGATCACACACAAGTAAGTTGTCACGCATTCAGGAACAGAATCAAACCTTGGTTTTCGGCATGAGCCAAAGCTTATACCGCTGCACTATCTCTCCTGCTTAAAACACACAAACCCCATAAGCAATAGTTAACAAATGGCAGTCCGATTTTAGTTAACAAATCTCGATCTAAGCTAGTAAACTGGACCAAGTACCAAAACGTCCAAAAATTTAATTGAATAAATTTCACCTTTTAGAAGCCTTAACAATTGTCATTATTACCTCTCATCTGACCCTGAAACGTTTAAGTTTAAACTGTTGTGTTGGCTCCAAGAAAACCATGTTGGCCCCTGTTTTTTTCAAGCAGGAGCCAGATGGCTCCTAAGGAATAAAATAACCAAGAGGGCTGCATCCAGAATACCGCTTAATTTGTTTTGACATCCAATTTAAGAACTCTTGGGTCACATCAGTGAACACAGCAGGTACAAGTAAATTAGACTGGGATGTTTACATAGAATGACCATGTGCCTTCATAAAATATTTTACTGATTTTACCCTCTTTGCAAGACAAAGAGACGAAAAATAAATTACAACACTGAAATATTGGCATTCTGTGTACAGAACAACATCCATGGCATCCAGCGCACTGCACCGAGACATCCGGGTTACCACACAAAAGGGCTTGGCATCCAGCATACCAAAATGGGGTTGGCATCCTCTGATAAGCACACAGCAGAGAGTAATCCACATAATAAAGGCCATCACAGTTCACAGACTTCAGTGTCCTATTTTCCTTTCCAGCTATCGGTGCCCCAAGCATGGAGCAGAAGTTGAGATATGGGGAGCAGACGGCCCAGTCGTACGGCGCCATGGGGAAGAAAGTCTCGTTTGGTTCTGATTGGCCGGCTTCCTCCACTCTCAGGGGTGAGTACAAATGTCGGAGATAGTGAATGGCGTGTATGCTTATACCAAGACCTGACAAGGAAAGGCTTTTGTTCTAACCATAAGGAATCACATTTTCCCTTGGCTTTGTTGTGTCAACATCCATATTAATTGAATAATTAAATCCCCTAATAATTAGGAGTGAGTGAGTGAGTATGGTTTTACGCCGCTTTTAGCCATATTCCAGCAATATCACGGCAGGGGACACCAGATATTGGCTTCACACATTGTACCCATGTCGGGAATCGAACCTGGGTCTTCGGCGTGACGAGCAAACGCTTTAACCACTAGGCTACCTGACCACCCCTAATAATTAGGAGATGGACCTATTCTGTTTTAAATGTTTTTGGGGTTCATGGTTGATTAAACTCTGCTGTATATTATATAAACCAAACCTGTTGGCAACCTCAGAATGTAAAAACAGAAGAGGTTTATCTCCATTCTACTATGACTAAAATGCATTTTTTATGAAAAAATGTCGGTGCAGTGATCCAGTCAGAAGTGGTTATCGCTCAATAACCATTTAAAATTTAGTAAGCTTAACCAATCAAACTAAATCATCCTTCAATGTCATGGTAGAATCAGTACCCTCTTCACCACAAAGCTGATGTCCAATTCATATTGGTCTGCAATTTGAATGATTAACATAGTTGGAACATAGTACAGTAATGTCAATCTCCATTCTTCAAGGTTACCGCACGATCGATAGCCTCTATCCACGAGGCACCACTAATACCATCAAGGGAAACCTCAGACCCAGCACCGTGATGGCTGACGTGAAGTCAATGAACGCCCTCAATGCTCGGCTAGCCGAGGCTGGAATGCCCAGCCCGAGGGCCCAGTCAGCCACCCTCGTGTCAAAGCCCCCCAGCACCATGTCCGTACAGGAACAGGCGGGTATCAACACTCACTTCCCCGGGGACACGGAATACATGTGCCAGTACACCAGGCCCCCCATGGATCTGCCGACCAGTCACTTCACCATCAACCCCAAGCCGGACTTGTCCATCTACGGTCGACCCCTGGGCATCAAGCAGTTCTACCCCAGCTCCACCGAGTACCAGACTAGGTACATGTGGCCGGACGGGTCCAGGATTGTCAAGTTCCCCTGGCTCAGGAAGTGAAGATCAACAGCCAATCAAAGGAAGTCTCCCAGTGCTACTACTCCTTTTGGACCACAGTCAATCTCATTAAAATCAGATCTTAGTTCTCGCTGTTGCTAAACAAAGATCTGAGGACATCCAATTAAGGGTCACGTCAGAACGACCTTTCATCCAACTAATCAGAGCGTCGCTTACCAGATCATGAAAGTTACAGTCGGAATGTGTTTTCTAATCATGCAACCGCGAAATATTTAACACGGAGTATTCCTAACGACAGTTACAGGTTTTATGATTATATCCATACAATCTAGGCCATCTATAAGCCATTCCAGAATATTCTTCTTATCAGTTTTAATTTATTTTAATCGAGAATACGTCAAAATATGTTTCGAAGCATAGTCACCAGTTTGAAACTAGTGTCGTAAAGCTCAAGACAGCTGCCTTCTGATTGGCTAATGTTGATTTCTTGTCGGTCATTTCATTGGTTGGTCAAAATTCGCGAAAGGTCGTTCTGACGTGACCCGTAATGGGATGTCCTCAGATTTATGTTAAGCGGTAGCGAAAACTAAGATCTGATTTTAATGAGATTGGACCACAGTTGAACATCGAAATGCTGTGAAAATACTTGAATGTTCTCAATATGCTAAAAACAAAATCATACCGTAATTGACATCAGGTTCCCAATTGTTCAGTGTGGAGATAAAACAATTAAGAAAAGTTTTAAAATGTTGGTGAGCATTGTTTATGGTTTTTGTTGCTATGGTTACCAGTGTCATATGACCAATACCTGACACTCTGGTATCATTTTGCAAATTATTTATTTCTATCAATTTGCCACAGGAAAAAAAAAAAGATAATCAGATGATAAAATTAGTTCTCAACTTTTGATAGAGATAATCGGTTACCGTATTGGACGTAATAAGCACCCTGCTCTAATAAGCGCCCTGGGCGATATTTGCTAATACATTGGCTAGTGAACAATCCCAATTAGCACCCCTTCCGTTTGATCAATGTACACAAGACTTATTTATTCGCGTATAATACGCACTCGTGTGTTATATGCACCCTTAATTTTGGGCAATTAAATTCTGGAAAAATATATTTGTCGTACATAAACATTTCAGGCTGTCATCATAAACCACAAAATTTCTTTCAACTCTGTTTTTTTCACCAAAATGATATTTTTATAAGAGCCCCCTATTTCTAATTTTGAGAGCGCCCTGGGCGCTTATTATGTCGAATACGGTATGTCAGATAGATTTAAATATACACTGGACATATTGTGAGAATCTGTTTTGTGTATCACGGAAAGACACTAACATCCCTATCAAAAGTGGAGTAGTGTGTCTCGTGAATCAACAAAAGTTCCCATTGTGTTTCAGTATACATAGGATCCATTAAAAGAGGGAATTTATTCCCACTGCCAGAAACTGCGATGAAATCCTTTGACATACATATTCCCGATATACTATACTATACTTCAACTAAACAAAGATCACAGTTCTGGGAAATGGCGTATCTGTCACAACTGGAGCATTAAAGTACGCAATACTGCAGCACTCGAAGACTGCCTGGAATGTATAACCAAAACGAGTTCTCAAAGATGATTTGTGATGGGTTCTTTGGGGTGAAATGTCTCATTTATTGAACTGTCATATATGATGATGATGTTAAGTTTCAGAAACTTTATTTCTAAAAGTTGACATATCATAAGTTTTTTATTTCATTTACAAATGATGTGATTGCTACGACCTTTGAGATTTTCTTCTTCTGATGAAGACACTATGCCTTGTTTCTTAGCTTTAAACCCCCCAATGCATTTGAATGTACAAACCAAAGTTGGAGTGAAATTTATTTTGTTCAGCATTATTATTATAATACAGATTACATATACAATTTATTTTAGGAATATCTGTCTATTCAGAATGCAATAATTGTATGATGAGATTAAAAATGTGTGAAAGAGTTCGTTAGCGAACTGTGGATAGTTTGGATATTTTGGGAAAACACTTATTGATGTATTGATTAGCCTCAAATTTGCTTAGTAGCCTAATGTAATGTGCAGTGAGAAACTATTCTGACACATTCAGTGGAAGTTCAAGAGGGCCAAATCTGTGTACCTCCAACAGTATTATTATAATTATTATTATTTCTTGTATTATTTAGCAATATGTACAGATATATCTACACAGAAACTCTACCTGTCCTCGTATACCTTCATGTGAGTGTGCTGTCTCAAAACTTTAGTGTGCGATAACAATTTTACAACTTTTTGTAAATAAACAACATATAACTGCCTGTATGATTGTGTGATTTATTCCAAAAAAGCTCCAGACCCTTTCAGAGTACATTACCAGCAAGCAGCATGTGGCTAAAGTCAGTTTGGTTTAGCGCCACTTTGAACAGTATTTCAGTTATATCGGGGCATGTCAGCTTGATGTGGGAGAAAAGCTAAAGACACAGCACAGATATGGTGCTGACAAAACTATATAATAATCAGGTCAAGTCTTCGATTCAAACCCATGAGTGTAGCTTCCTGGCACGCCCAAGGGATGTAACTCTGCACAGTGAATTCCGTTGCCACCTGTGTCCCATGTGGTTGAAAGAAATAGGTCAGGTAATGAACAATACTTTAGGCTTTAAAAAATAAAAGAATTGGTTCTCAGGCAATGACTTTTGAAAATATAGTGCAAGTGGGCACTTGTTTGTTTTTTTGCTTGTTCAAACTAGTATGTAACCAAATAAACAGTGTACCATCAACCTAGGAAAGGCCCTCCCTACATAAACAAGCATTCAAACTCCTATTGCCGCCATTACCACAACACAGGATGCAGAGTAAAGCATAGGGCATCTAAAGGGAGTTAACTGTGTGTTTGGTTTTAAGTATTAGGATTTTTTTTTAAATGGAAATAAAAACAAAACGTGCGGCAGGCTCACTGATGACGCGGGCAGTGCCTGAGAACTAAGACTATTATTTTTTTCAGCCTTGATTCATTGTCTGATTCCATGTACTCTGTCAGTCAACCAATCAGAGTGGGTGAGTGAGTTTAAATGGATAAATGTAAACAAGAAGACAAAGTCATTGATATCCCTCACCCTTTTAGCTATGTGCGTAACATCACAAAAAGCATATCATTAATAACACAATGTTAATACAAAGTTTTGCGAGTACAACTGACATCATAAAATGTTGACTTGGCCAAATGAATCCTTCTATTCTTTAATGCTTTCAATCCCTTCCAAGGGTCTGAAATATTTATTAATTTTGACCTTTTAATTATCATAGCATATGTTGCATATAATATTTTCAAAACTCCATAACAAAATAGTAAGTGAGTGAGTTTGATTTATGCCGCTTTTAGCAATATTCCAGCAATATCATAGCTGGGGGCACCAGAAATGGGCTTCACACATTGTACCCATGTCGGGAATCGAACAAGGGCCTTGGTGTGACAAGCGAACAATTTAACCACTAGGCTACCCGACCGCTCCCCCACAACTAGATTGCTAAAAAGAAAAGATGATGCTTTGTTTGCTTGTTTTTGAATATACCCTGCATGAGGAACATCCCATTCTGGCAGGGTGTGACGGCACACACTCAACCAGCTCACCAGGCCAGCTCACCAAGCCAGCTCACCAAGCCAGCTCGCCTGTCTCTCAAAACAACACTGGTTGCTGTGGTCCTAATTTAACCTGGGTGGAATGATGTATGATATTTGATATACAAAATTCATAAATATACTGAATGGTTGATGAGTTATGCTCTGCGAAATGAATCCCTCATTCCAACTTGTTATTGCCTTAGAAATGTAAACTATAAAAACTTGAAAAACACATGCATAGCAAAAGGCACCAATTTAGCATGTGCCTAATATGTGTATACAAAGTCTCACAAAGACATATTAACAGTGTATGAGCTATTTTCCTTAGATTTATATGAACCTATTTCAACTTATAGCCCTGGAAATGCAAAAAATATAATGAAAAAAATTCCTGAATAGCAAAAGGTACCAGTTCTATGCATGTCTGTGCATACCAAGTTTCATGAAGAAACATGGAATGCTTTATGATTTATGCTCTAGAAAGACGGAGCCTGTTTCTATATCCCCCTGCAAAACTTTGTTTGGGCGGGGGGCAGTTGGATAAAAAGTAGGTAGAAGTTTGGAAAGAGATGCAAAACCCATAGCAATAGTTGTCAATAAACTTACTTTGCATACAAAAACACAGCTGTATGGATGACATCTTTGCATCATATGTGAAGATGAAGGGATACCATACACACAGATGTATTATCTGAAGTAAGCCTAACACTTTGAAATATCTAATCACCTGTGACAGATTCATCCATGGAATACATCATCAAGTTTACTTTCCATTTTATGGAAAAAGTATGTAGGTTATAAAAATGAAACATTCAGCATGTTCAAGAAAGAAACACTAACGCGGCAAAACAAAGATTTGAAGATTTCTATTCCATATACATACACATATATATATATATATATATACATGTGACACACACACACACACAACAATGGCGCAGACAGTTCATCGTCATGTAGTATCAACTGTGGAGTCTGGCTCGCATGCCGTCACTTCCTCTGGGAATTCCAACCTCTCGAATGTTTCTGCCCTCAATGACAGGTGCTTGTTGATTTCATTGGGATCTGTGAACAGGTGCTTGCTGACCTGCGGAAACACAAGAGTGAGTGAGTGAGTGAGTGAGTGAGTGAGTGAGTGAGTGAGTGAGTGAGTTGGGATTAAAGCCGCTTTTAACAGTATTACAGTTATATGGCGGCGTGTCAGCTTAAAGTGGGAGGAAAGCCCGAAGTGATGCAGGTCTCAGACGATTACCACTTCGGTGAAACCCACGAGCACGGGTATGGTGTGGAAACACAAGATGTGATGGCAGTGAGTGAGTGGTAGGGCTTGGGTGGGTTGTTTACCACTTTGGTCAAAATCAAGAGCGCAGGTATGGTGCTGACAAACCTAGAAACACAATCGCAGCCCAATCAAAACCCGAGATCATAGGATTCTTGCATACCAAAGGGACATTACTCTGTACAGCATGTTAATCAGAACATGTATGTCATTAAGAATCTCCACACTTAATGACATAATAAACATAGTCCCGACATTAAATCTGACTGTTAATTGTCAAGGGTCCTTCAACAAAAGCGATCAGCCCAGTGCCCAGAGGGACTGATCAAAGGGAGACAACTTGTCAAGAAAACAATGCTTAATATGAACGTACCTTGAGGTTTTCAACTTTGTCATCCTTGCTTGTGAACTCTCGAAGGATGTAGTTCTGACCTCCCTGTGGACAATGACATGACATATGGAGACGGACAACACATAACTGTCTTCATACAAAACATCACACACTGGCACAGAGATTTCTTGAAATGTTCGAACTAAGCATGTGTGTGTGTTTAACGCCACACTCAGCAATATTCCAGGCTGTGGCCTGTAAATATTTGGTCTGTATCACACAATCAAGTGATTGATATTGTGAGCAACAACCCATGCCATCGGGGCATGACATCCCATCAACCAAGTCACCCAACCAGATCCATCATGTCGCCTCTCATAACCAGCATAAGTTGCAGGGGCCCTGCTCTAACAGGGGCTTTCGAAATGAACTGACTAAACGCCGTAGCAGTCAGCAGTATGCCAGCTTTATAATAGCAGCCTGTAAATAATCGAGTCTGGACCAGACCTTGGAGCAGGATGAGAGCTAGGAGAGTACCTGACTCTACAACTAAAATTTATTCGTCTTCTCTAATAAGCCTGTGACTTATTATTCAATAGAAATGGGTAAATAGGTATAGCGTTAACTTCTTGTATGCCAAGAAGCATAAGCACGTATAATTGCTTTGCATTTGCATGAAGGACTTCAAAGATCTGTCAAGGTGAGACTCGGCTTACCTCATGGTATATCCGTGTATCATTGATCCGGATCATCACATTGTCCACTCTCATGAAGAACCGCAACAGCACGAAGAAACTGCTTGGCATGACACGCTGAAACACAAGTCACTGGGCCATGATCACTGCAATAACCTCTTGTAAAACACATCCTTTTTCTCTTTAACAATAATTATAGTCCCCTTGTCCATTTGCAAGTTTAACAGTAACATTACCATATCCTACCGGATACCCATTCACTGCTGAGTGAACAGAGATGTATGTTCGAAGCTTTGCTTTATTATTACCCTGGTCAATAGATCAGTGCGCACACAATTTTTCATCCTCCACTGAGGAGTAAACAGCTCAATCAGCCTGTGAGATGCGAGAAGTTTAACAGTCACATTACCATATCATCCTACCGGGTACCCATTCACTGCTGAGTGAAAAGAGACAATGAACATCACACAATTCAAAGAGTAAGATAACGAATATGACAAATGCACTGAACACTTTTCATTGACAATTCTAAAGCTGGTAATCATACTAGTATTTTCAATAACACATGCTTCAGACTTTCAAACTGAACAGAAACATGTGTAAAGCATATACATGTAAAGAGTGAGTGACTGTGGGAGGAGAATCGCACGTGTAGCTAGGGCTGGTAGGCTACATGTCGGCACAACTCCCGGCTTTTATCTAGGTGCGCTTAATAACCTGACAACAAGTCTTGTGTTGCCAAGCTGTTCCAACACCATATTCAATACACTTCCGATACCCGGATTCATTTCAACATGTTTCAACCACTATGTGTTTACTTATTATTCTTATAAACATAAAATTCAAAGATACATGTTGTTATTGCAAATCTTGTAATATCACTTTTTATCACAAAAGAATCACAATATTTGTCATCATAAATGATAGTCCCACAACGCAACATTTTGACCATTTGCTAAATGTAGCAGAACATATTCAGCAGCATCACAAGACTCACATCCCATCACATATGATATTAAAGAAAACCATGGTTATCAATAATAATACAAATATAAAAAATTTCCTTGCAGTGGTACAGCTAATCTCAGACGAATAATATCTCCAGCACTTACTGCTATTTGTCACAGTTACCTCCCTTGATTAAAAATAACTATGGTTACCATGGCCGAGCCTCATGACGAGATTTTCCCAAAAAGGTAAAAAGCCAATGTCATAAGCTATCTTGGTCTTAAAAAATTAAGAAATTGAATGTTAACATAGCAGTTTGTTAATGGCAACATACAGCAATGCCACTTCCAGGGAACACACAGCCCTGTTGAACAGAACGACATTCACAGCAGAAATAAGAACCTCAAACCTACAATTTTGACACTGAGAATGGAGGAGCCGTTGTCTGACAACTCATCCTCGAAGAGGAGGACATCATCGTAAAACATTATCTTCTCCCGTACTTTGAGCTTCTCCAAGTCTATTCTCTCTGAGGTGGCTGTGGCCTGCAAGGACAACACGGGAAGATCTCACACACATCCAGACAAACACAATCTTCTACCAGCAGGGCCAGTTAGTGGTAAAACAAGCCACTGGCATATTGGAAAGAGAATCCTCCCTTGCTTATTTCTAGGTTACAGGATTAACATGACAGAGAAGATGCTCAGGTGCAGGCATCACGCTGTGCCCTGTAGGCTAACCAATAGTCTGACATAAACATGTCACCATAAATCATATAAATATGATAAATTTGCCACGTTACATGGGTACATGCATAAAAAGCATATACCTTATAAGATTGTAAAGTTTACAATGCTAAGGGCCTAGAGGTAACGTGAGGGAAAAGGGGTTTACATCACGTTCAAGATTTATTGCACTTATATTGGTTGGTTGGTTTGTTGTTTTACGCCGCACTCAGCAATATTCCAGCTATATGACGGCGGTTTGTAAATAATCAAGTCTGGAACAGACAATCCAGTGATTGACATCATGAGCATCCATCCACGCAATTGGGATAGATGACATGCTTCAGCCAAGTCAGCGAGCCTGACCACCTGATTCTGTTAGTCGCCTCTTACGACAACATAGTCCCCTTTTACAGCAAGCATGGGTTGCTGAAGACCTATTCTACCCCGGATCTTCACAGATCCTATATCACGAAGTGTGCATGTGTGTTTGCTTGTACTAGTCTGGACTAGTAGGTTTCATAATGCAAACCCACGGAGATACCATGTGGCAGTTTAACATGGATACTCCGATCAGACATGGTATACAGACTCTGAATCTGCCAGTCTTTGTTCTCTCCCCTTAATGTCAAGCACCAGGAAAGGTAACAATGAGTACCATCTTACATCATCTCTTGGTATGAGGTGAGGTGAAATGGGGTTTAACGTTGCATTCAAGATTATTGCACTTTTATAATGACATACATGCACATGTGTGTGTGTCTGCTTGTACCAGTCCAGACTTATGCCAATTTTATAGTGCAAACCCACTGAGATATCATGCTGCAGTTTAACATGAAAATATTCTTGTTTTATTCCCTTAATGCCTAGCGCCAGACAGGGTAACAACAAGAATCATATTTTAACATTATGACGTGGCCGGGGATCATGGAGGCTGTCATTTTGGTACGACAGACCTGGGGATCAAACGTCTCACCTTTCCAGACAGGCACTCTATCCACAATACCATGGACATAGTCTTTACAGGCCAGTTCTAGTGGGGGCTACAACTGACTACTAATTTTCTGCACAATATTCCCTAACACAGTGAAGAGGGAAGTGAGACATGCTGCTCATCGACACCTTCCACCAACTACTGTCAGCAGGGATAGACCCGGACATTAGCCCCAGACAAGAGACATCAGGATGAACTAGTTGCTTCATCCACAAACATAGGTAGTCTGTGGACTAGATGGATTAAACTCATGGTGTCTAAACATGGTAAACACCTGAGCATTTCACCTCCTTCCGAACACTGTACACACCTAATTAGACAGGTAGTAGTGTACCCTTTGTATTTTCAGTCACATTGTTTCAACAACACTTGAATGTAGTTGGGTGATGACCCGTTCTCTCCATTGTCTTCACAACACATACATGACTTATTTCTACAGACTGTCAGTGGCAGGGAATGATTGAAGCACTAGTAAAATGTCGAGTGCTGTCGAGTAAATTAGAGTTACCGCCCCTGGTTCTGTTGACAAACATGGCAGGCTTCACCATTTTGGGGATGGGAAAGTTTCTAAAAGAAACCTGTACAAGAGCAACACAGGCAATTTGATGGCTTTTTCAACCTGACATGCATCGTATTAGTTGCCAGGTGCGGACTGGGCACCTATCTGAAAGCACTGAATTCCTGACAGCTTCCAATGCTATTCTGGATTCAAGAACTGAGACTGTGAAACATTCTGGACATTCATGATTGCACTGTAGGGCTGGGACGAGTCCAAATTTACTACCCGGGTACCCAACCCCCTATTACCCAACCCTACCCAGGTACCCACTGTAGGTCTCAAGAGATACAAAATGTCCGATTGGGAATTGTTTTACCACAGCACTTGCAAAACGTATTTAGATACATGTATTAAACGATCTGGTCATGCATACACTGAAGTTGACTTAAGTTATATCTTTATTAAACCATCTGAAAAGTCAGAAGGAATGGGTGCATAGTCAGAAAGAAATGCGAACATTAGTGACTTGTAGTGTAACAATAGAGTTCTAGGTATTTTTTGTCATTAAACAATGTATCACGTGACTAACCACGGGTCCGGGTAGTCCTGTGGGGACCCGGGTCCTACTCAGTACCCACCCGACCCGGGTAGCCGAGTTACCCGTCCCAGCCTTAGTGCACTGACATATATTGTAGGGCCCGCTACTTAGTGATCCACTTATTTGTGGCCTTTTGTAACAGTAAACCTAATCCTGGTTAATTATTCATTGATCTTGTTTGGTCATTTACGGATTTCATAATTTGGTTCAGTTCATACCGATTTCTAGGTAAACCTTTTGGAAATCACCCCCTAACACTGACCTTGAGACTGGGCTTGTCCACGGCAACCAGCTCCCCCTTGTAGCCCGTGGTGTAGGTCCAGTCGAACGGCTTTACTACATTCTTGATATGCTCACATTCTGATCTTTTGGAGATAAACAAAGAATTTCCAATGTCAGTGAGTGAGTGACTTTGGTTTTACGCCGCTTTTAACAATATTCCAGCAATATCACTGCAGGGGACATCAGAAATGGGCCTCACACATTGTACCCATGTCGGGAATCGAACCCGGGGCTTCGGCGTGACCAACTAACGCTTTAACCACTAGGCTACCTGACCGCCAATGGGGTCAGTAGTGAACGGTGCTGTTCTCTTCCACACATACATGATATACATACAAACTTTTACCATCAATGCTGAAGAATGAATGGTGATTAACATGGCTTAGTAAGACAACTTGTCATCTTTATGTGGGAAGAATATAATTATCATGTGATTATGTTGCTAGCAGACCAAAGTCCACCAGAGTATTTAGTAGGTTCGTCGTATACCGGTATACCACTATTGAAATAATACTATACTAAATAATACAATATGTTTCGAAAATATTGATATATATTGCATATTTTCATCTTGTTGGCAAAGTTTACTTTAGTGAATTGAAATAATTATGAAATTCACAAATTAGCAACTGATACCTGTGGTCGAAAAGGCAAAACTATTCGTGACCAGCCTTCCGGATATAATGTGCATATTAGGCATGCGCTGTGACCACAGCAATATTCAGCAAAACGGCGGGTTATTTTAATTCAGGTTCATAAATGTCAGGTGAAAGAATGCATGCAATATAGTCTGGTATGTATCGCAATACATGAATCATTATTGCAGTTAATTGCAATGCGAAGGTCAGGCCAATACCCTCCAGTTTCTGACACAAGGAATTTAAAGTTAACGTACTTTTGAACAGCATATCTTGCTTTATGTGACTTTGTGTAGAATTCCACCCACCGTGCGTTCTGCCACTCTGCTGCAGCTGCCACCTTCAGGGGGTCTCGGTGTGCGTCCACTAGCTTGAGGGCCCCCAGGGCTGTGAAGGCAAGTCCAAACCCTCCCTGATGCTGGAGGTGGAGCGTGTTGTCTGCAAATACCATCTCCGGCAACTGTGGCAGCTCCAGCTGGCTCTCAAACCTGGAAACAAATTTGCAATTGTCAGTTAAACACTGGCAAGGAACTAGCACAGAAAAGAAGTGGAAAGGAAATGACGACAGAGTAAGTACAGCAATAGAAACTGGCACTAAAGTACTCACAGAAATGAAAAAAAACTGTTTTTTCGATCTCAGATTTTAAATAAATGCAGTTAATATACAAAATATATAAATATTCAAACAACTCAATTAGTACTAATTGGGCCTTGGCACAAATACAGCGTATCAAAGGTTTTTATGTCTTTTTACACGTAAAAGTGTGTAAAAATATGAACAAAACAGACTATTGTGATACTGAGCATAACCAGGTGTTAGTAGATCAAGGTGAATGTCCATGACCTATGACACCTTGACGACAGGTGAAAACAGGTGCTTGAAACCCACGTACGTGTGATTTGTGAGTGGTTAGTGATTTGTGAGTGGCATTGTGGGATAGTGAATCATCGTCAAAATATCAGAACGTAAAAGTAACATATTCCCTTCTCAAGCAACAACTTACATGTCATTATTATTATGTACATAAACATAGCTGTTATTTTTATTGTTGTTTTGATAACTTTTTTCCAGGCTAATTGGCATAATGCCTATAGCCTGTTTCTGCCATGTCAATTTGGACTTAGTTTTATTTTTGAATGTTGAAAGTGCCTACAAATAACCTCCTGTAAAGTACATTTTGTATGGAGCACTGAGATAAAACTAGCAAATCCAGACTAGTACTTTTCCAGTTGTTTTGTTATTTCGTATTTACATCTACGTAATGCTGTGTGTCGTTTATTAAATCCAGCAAAACAGTTTTTTTCATTTCCATGAGTACTATAGTCTTTGCCAAACTGCCTCATAGTTAAGGCATCAAAAAGACTTGGAGAAATTTGCCATTTTCAAGGGTTTTGTTATAAGGTCTAGTGGACCAAACATATTAGTTTCTATGGCTGTGATTATAGTTTTACACCACTTTTAGCAATATTCCATCAATATCAAGGCAGGGGACACCAGAAGTGGGCTTTACACATTGTACCCACATCGGGAATCGAACCTGGGTCTTCGGCGTGATGAGCAAACACTTTAAACTACTAGGCTACCCCACCATCACTGTGTAAAAGGAAGTCATGATGCTCAACAGTCCATGGTGGGTACATGTGGAGATGTGGAGATTCAGATCAAGTGGTTGACAAACGTCTCAGTGTCAGATAATAGTGGGATTACACACACTTACAGACAAAGATGTAATTGACATGATTGATGAACACAGGGAAAAAATCAAGATGTTTTTAATTGCACAGCTTCAAGAAGCAATATTTCCAAAATTATATTAAAGGATTGACTGTTGATTCATTTGGGGGATATATTTAGTTTACAATTTAAAACATAAGTGTAAACAATATGATTTCAAGACAAAATAAAACCTAAACAATTGCAATGTGGTTTTGCAATTATAACATTATTTCCTTAAGCATGGCTGAGGAAACTTTGTGTGTCTCACCCAGTTATCAATGAAAAAAGTATTATAAAATATAACCACAACTGGTTCCACCTACTTCTCTCTCTCAGGTCCCTCCGACTCCAGTATGTGGCTTTTTGTGCTTGTCAGTGTCCATGGGCCAAACTGGTACTGCTGGGACACTGGTTGTCTCCCCTTGGGGACAGGACGTGCTGTCATACTGGCACGCTGTATGCTCTGACTGCTTATTCTAGGATGGCCCTCTCAACTTCCCTAGATTATGAAAAAAATATACATGACAATGTACGTTATCACCATATCATAATTATTGTTTCATGACTAGAGGATGAGGCGAGGTGATCGAAATTGGATTTGCAACATTCCAGTAATAATCAGCAATATGGCCGTGGACACCAGGAATGGTATTCATTGACTAACAGTTCCCATGCTGGAAACTGAACCTGTGTCTTGAGTGTGATGATGGCATGTGCCTTTTGGGGATACTTTCACATGTAATTCATCATCATTTATTCACAAAGTATAGGCCATTGGCCCATGTAATTAGTGCCTGTGCTTGTGATTAGCATCCGATCCATCATGTATACTCGGACCCCGTGGTACCGCGGCATCCATCGTATCGCGGCATGTGTGATTTCCGATAGTTCACGCGGGACAAGCCACAATGCAAATCAGTAACCAGGAAGTTCTCACTTCGTAAACAATTTCAATTTCCTCGGAATGTTCCGTCTGCTGTAAGTAAGGAGTTATTAATGCGTTGATACTTACTTCTGGCATCATTTTTAATATTGCCCTACCCCCATCTATCAATGGCCAACGATATAACCCGCAGTTCCCCAAGTGAACTTTCTCTATCGACCTGAACTAGATCATCTGCATATTCATGGCGACTAATAAGGTAACGGAAGTTAGGTAGTCCGCACATTTTGCCCGCTCTGTGCACAGAATCTATTGGGAGATCATAAGGGTCATAATGCCAAACTTAGAAATACTTTCTTCACTAGTAGCCAAATGATAAATACATACTTTGGGCATACTAGGAGTGCTTTCTATATATTTATTGTTGACTTTTAACATTTTTCCATTTTGTGAAAAATTATTGTCATCCTATCTTTTTTCTAAACAATATTAGAATATCATTTTTCTCTTACTTTTCGGTAAATATGCAACGAATACCTATTCCTGATAACACATTTAGAATTTTACTTGTGCTGTCTTTGCACTTGTCTGGACAAATCACTGATGTCTGGCATGATCATACCAAGTGGTTGGTAGAATTATGTCCTCTTTTAGTCCAATTCGGACCTCCAAACACAACTTTTCTCTGTACAGCGATACGATGGAGTTCTCTCCCTTGTCAAACAGAGCGCAAGGCCCTGCTTTTACTCGGAGCTACTGATGTAAATAATGAACTTTTATCAGTAAAATATGCATTGTTTGATAAAGTAAATGATACCTGATATAGAGAACACGAATAATAATAAAGGTGAGTGAGTGCATTTTGTTCCGTTTAGCGTACATGACAAGTACCGTGATACCCCGAGGTTGCAGGCTACATGTATTTTTGGTGAAACTCAAGACTTGATCTAAAATATGTATTTGCCAAGCAGTAGAAACCAGCATTTTTAGTTAGCTAGTCCTTACAATGATAACATATAGTAAACCCGTTAAAAATGAAATATTTCTAGGTCTACAAGTCCTTAAGATACCTCAACTATTGGGCAGTAGCCAGTCTGCAAACACTGCAGGACTCGTGCCAATTTCTAACGCTTATTTACCCAGGTCTTTTTATCCTTCAAAGGTTGTATTGTCGACAACCATAATGTTGATTAATTATATTCATTAAGGTAAAGGTGTGAAAATAATTATATCATTGTCTCATGACCTACTTTTCCCAAATTATAGTTTATTTGATTTCATATTTCAGGTGAGCGAAAACTGGGGGGAAATATATATCATTATCCATTCCTAATTGTGGATAAATGTTACCGTCAATAACTTCTGTAGGCTACTACAACAAGAAGCAATGCTGGAACAAGACTGGTCTGCAATAAATGTGGGTTACCTGACGAAGTCAACGCGGCCTTAGTCTCTGTCATTGTGTTCACAAGTCGCACTGTTTGTCTGGTCCGCCATGGCTTCAGTAAGAGTTATGAGAGTTACCTCCCCTTTAATTTTCTTTTCTTTTCTTTTTTGCTATATTATACGACCGTTTCAAGCGGTTTATACACGTTTTTCTTTGTTTTGTGTGTTTGTTTTTTAACGCCGCACTCAGCAATATTCCATCTATATGACTGTGGTCTGTAAACAATCGATTTTGGACCAGACAATCCAGTGATTGACATCATGAGCATCGATCCACGAAATTGGGATACAATGACATGCATCAACCGACCCCCTGATACCGTTAGTCGCCTATTACGACAAGCATGGCTGGATTGCTGAAGACCTATTCTACCCCGGATCTTCACGAGTCACCTTTCAAATTGCTCACACGTTTTTCTGAACAATTCGAATGGTTGTTTTAGAAAGATTTGATGTGCAGGTAAACATTCAGTTCTATCTTCTAGAATCTATCTGTATTGCAGCTTATTATTTTGGGAAATGAAAATGAATATTAATAGAATGAGGAACAGTGTAGTCAAAAAGTTAGCTTGAAAAGGTTTATATAATATTGCCACATGGGGAAAGCGTATTAAAAATTGTGACATTTATTACTCTGTACTGTGAGATGGAAACTGGGAAATCCTGTTATTAAATGCAATTAATGTCTCACATAACCTCAGTCAAAAGACAAAATGTTTCAAATTATTTTTTGGGACGTTGAATATATTACCCGAACATTATACAGCACAAATAGAACCATATGCTGCAGCAGCCTGTTGAAGAATTAAGGTTTTATTCAGCACTTGACATGCTTGTTACATTTGTTTCGCATTGGCTAAAAGTTCCAGCAAGTTTATTTCATTTTTATATTTTGCAAAATTTAAACTTATGCCCCATATGTTGAATGTATTCTGTTTGTTTATAGTGGTAGTTTGTTGTTTAAATAATTAACCACGCACATATAACAGTGGCCTGTAAATAATCGGGTGTTGACCAGACAATCCTGTGACTGACATTGCGAGCAATGCCCTCGGGATACGATGACACCCAATTACCAAGTCACCGACCTTGACAACTCCATATCTTGGTGCATTGAACTCACAAGCTAAATATCATCAGATAATCGAAACTATATCTTATATAACTCTATAACTTTAATTAGTAACGTCAGAGGTCACCATTCTGGTTGCCTAAATGCCGGGCATGGCATGTGTGTGTATTTCCCTTCCCCCAAATTATCCAAAACAAACACATAGGTATAACGAATATGTCTAATCAACAAAGTATGTAGATTTACATGGAATTGGTACGGGCAAAGGTATAATTCAAGAATCTGAAATTTCGTGCCGGGTTTGATTAGAATTATTGTAAAAGACGAATCACTCAAACGAAGTTGCATGCGACACGTATTATTTTCGGTGGCGATTAAATATCTCGTTGTAATGACAATGCATTATTGCAGACACCATGTCATCTCTGCCTCTTAGATGAGACAAGATTTAATTCTTGATGTTATGTGAAACCTTTAATTTTCGGTTTTAAGCAAATATGCATTTCGCTTCATCATCATGGATTCCGAAATTTTGTACTAACCATAAGAACGGACCGCCTTTTACATAACCCAATCATTCCGCATATTTCGTCCTGGGGTTGTGTAAGTGTATGTGGTAGAGCGCTTATATAAGGTGAGCTTTGTCTTATACTATATGTGCACTTCGTGGATACTGTTGAGTCCTCAAAACTGTAACGGTTGTTGGGAAGTTTATCCTGCTAGAAAGAAGTTCACATGATAATGTCAAGATGTAGATGTTAGTGTGATCCACAAGTTCGCGGCGAGGTCAGTGTCGTCTCACCTTCCCCTTGGCGATGACGACTGTGTCACGCGTTGTCTGTCTGTTAGGGTGAGGTGTGCGTGTGTGCGTGCTTGCTTGCGTGCGTGCTTGCGTGCTTGCGTGCGTATTTGTGTCGTCAAAGCTCCGGTATCCGCAAACGTGAATGCGAAAGAACGACCAGTTCTTGTGAAAAGGAAGAAGCTGTAAAATCCTCTAAATTAATTCATTTTAGAGTTGAACCACAAATTTAGCATTTTTATATATTTGGCGTTTATCTTGGGACCACAATAAATATATCACAGCTTTAGCGTTTAGTTCACACTGAAATAACACGGAAAGTAATATTTAGATAACAAGTAGTTGATATAGGAACATGTTAGTTTTATAACTGCAAAAACACAAATTTGTTTCAGATGTCTGAGTACCTTCGTCCAGCGTTTGCTATAGTACTTCCAAATCTTGGTGGTATTGCTGGGGGTTTCTTTACGAGGAAGGCCATCCCAGACTGGTATGAGGTAAGCAGATGAAGTGTGTTAATATGTGATATTATACTTAGATACCAATGTATCACCATTTTAGAGTATGATTCTTATTAACTTATGTCATGGTCTGCTTGAATGTTGTCAGCTGACAACACCTTCACCCAAGATTTCACTGGCTAATTAAACTGATAAAACCTCAGTTTGTACAGAAAATTCCAATCAAATTTATACAAGGGCAGTTGTTTTGATAAATGCTTCTATTATATTTTATTCACATCACATTTCTTGAGCCTTGATCTTTTTTGGCAAGCCAGTTTGTGTGTGTGATACTGATAGTGAACTAGACTACTTATTGACTGAATAAGGTAATCTTAACTTGGAAATGGAAAATTAGGAAATGGGATTAGGTTTCATAATAATGTGTCTAACAAAATAGACACAATTTATGTGTAATAACTTCTTTATTTTCTGTAATAGTGATGTTTCTGTATAGATCCTTCTACTGTTGTCAAGCAAGACATGGTGCTTGGGGGGTTGACAGTAACAACAATTGCGTACATGAGAGAGATTAACATGAGTAGGTTAAGTGATGACAAACAGAAGGCAAATGTTGTAATAGTGGACAGAGAACACATGCTGAGGAAGCCAATTAAACAGGATTAAGTATACAGGTGGGGTGATTATTAAACCCCCGACCTAAAAGGGTGGTGGTATGTAATTATACCAAGGATCTCCGTCCATCCTTCCGAGGACATTTTCTGCATGACATATAACTTGAAAACTACTACATAGATTCTTTTAAAACTTGGTGAACACTTTCTATACCAATAGGAGAGGTGCAATGCAAAGTTTGATTTTAATATTTGGATTTTCTGTGAAAAAAAATAGCAATTGTTCTTGTTTTAATTGGAATTATTTTCCTTTAAACAGTTCTGCGACCTATAACTTGAAAACTGCCTCATGTATTTGTTTCAAATTTAGGGAACGGTTTCCATACTAATAGAAGAGGTGCAGTGCAAAGTTTGATTTTGATAGGTGTATTTGCTGAATAAATAAGATTTATTTCATGTTTTTAACTTAGATTTGTTTGACCTTTAACTTGAAAACTACTTCATGGATTCGTTTTCAATGGGAATACAGTTTCTATACCACTGGGGCAGGTGCAATGCAAAGTGTGATTTGGATAAGTCGATTTTCTAAGAAGATATCGTTATGTAGCCAGTATGATGGCCAAGAAAAAAGTGTGAAAACGTAAAGTTAGTGCTGTTGCGCTTAATTGAAAGTACATAATTTTTGGTCTGTATTTGTCAAGACCCAAACGAATCTTAAAAGTGCTGAGGGGAAGTGTAGCTTAATTAGCAAGCTGATTGGATATATTACCACAAGCCGTGTACAGAATATACGCAATCATTTCATTAGTTGGTGGGAGACCTGTGTTGTATATGAAATACTGGTATGGATTCCATGTAAGTCACAAGTATGACAAGTGGGGGCTATGTCAGGTAACCTTGAATTAAAGTGAATTATGTAATTTTAACATAGTATTAAGATATTTTAGGGGCGGGGGTTCCACACACACCCACACCCTCATTCGTGCCATTATAAAGACAGACATCGATTGATCTTTGTAGACAATCAGTGATAATTAACCAGAATGGTATTTTACTCACCTACAGTCACTCATCTCATAACAACATGTAACTGCAGTCCATTATTTGGGGACTGACTTTCACTTTGTGTGAGTTCATGGGAGTATGAACCTTCATGGAGTGATGACCAATCTGTATGAACGTCAGAGCTTGCCCTCACTCCATGAAAGAGCGGTCGGGTAGCCTAGTGGTTAAAGCGGTCGCTTGTCACACCGAAGACCCGGGTTCGATTTCCGACATGGGTACAATGTGTGAAGCCCATTTCTGGTGTCCCCTGCTGTGATATTGCTGGAATATTGCTAAAAGTGGCGTAAAACCATACTCACTCACTCACTCCATGAAGGTTCACATTCATTTCTGATGTAAATGGCTTTTGTCACATTTTTGTTGTTGAAAGAAAGAGGAGTATATTTCAATCCTTTAACCCCCACTCATATTCATGCCTGCAAGAGTGCGAACGGATGGGCGGTCTTGTGCAATCAAACATGTAATTTTTAGAGGAAATTTCCTCCAACAAAAACATATATGGAGCCTCTGTATATAAAGGCTCCACCTCCGCTGTATTTTCGTTTCAGGACAAAAGTGCAAATAAAGTTACTTTACGTGCCATTTTCAAGGTTTTGAATGCGATATTTGCATTAACGATGTTACTGTCTGTCCTAATCTGCAAAGTTGTAAGCCCTCATGAGACTTGCACTTTATTGAGTTCATAGTAGGCAATGTCTTGTCCAAAAACTGACTTTTAAATTTAGGTGGAATATATTTATATCTGAGATTGTCATTGGCTGTATCCTCGAAGGGGGTTAAAGTAGTGTAAAATTATAGTCCCCCTGAGAGGATATTGTAAGTCCCTTTTCATTCAATGAATATTTATATCTCATAGTATTTTAATCGTAGTATATCTGTCTTTTTAATTTTGGCTAAAAATGCGCACAATCGCCACTGACTGAGGATATGTATGGTGATCTATCTTCAGTGGTTGGCGATCAATAGCTCGTTTTTATCATATCTTGTGTACTGTTACATCTTTTTATAGTTCCATGCTAGTTTTATATTCATATCTGTGATAGTCTAGTTTGTTTTACTGTCCTTTGTCGACAGGTTTTTATATAGTCAAAATGTATTTATTATTGCTTGTATAAATTGATCTCGTCACTATATGGCTGAAATATTGCGGATGTGACGTTAATTCTTAATCTTGATCTCTGTTGACTTCCTTAAGGGATTATTCTAGGTTCGGGGCTTGTGCTTTCAACCCCTAAATTTGAAAAAAGGCCCACATTTTCAAATACAATGGGGCTTTTTAACGTGTATGGGCAAGTGTGGGTGTACCTCTGAAAATTTCCACATAAAGGGCTCATATCAGAAAATTCCTAGAGTGAACCCTGCTTCCTTACATTATTGACATTAGGGGATATTTTAACACTGAAATATAAGTCAGCTCTACAAAGCTAGAACATTGGTTATAATTAGTTATAACTTTAGAATTTATACTGACATTGACTGCAGACTTCCAGCTGAATATGGGTCTCAGAACACGATAGATAAATCCATGAGTTTGGATTAATTTGATGAATGTGTTTCATGTTGTATTTGCAGCACTTGAGGAAGCCGTCATGGAGACCCCCAAACTATGTATTTGGTCCCGTGTGGACATACCTGTACTCTTCCATGGGCTATGCCTCGTACCTTGTGTGGCGAGATGGTGGGGGATTTAGCGGAGATGCCGCACTGCCTCTTGCCTGTTTCGGAACACAGCTCGCCCTCAACTGGGCCTGGACGCCGATATTCTTTGGTGCCAAAAAGATGGGTCTGGTAAGTGTATTTGCATCGTTAGTACTGCACAGGCTTGAAAACACTATGTAGTGTATACATGGCATCATTATAGTAGCTAAGTTTATTGGAGAAGAAGGTATATATCAGTGTTCAGTTTTGTGCTAGTCAGCTAGGGCACTCTGCACGTTTAAGACTGAATAAGATAGCAGTTTGAATTGAGTCACAGTTAACTATTTTTCAGGTTAATTTCTTTGAAACATTGCTAAACATTGGTAAAATGATTAATTAGATCACATTGTTTAGAGTACTTTGACCAAAGTCATCAGCTCCTCAGAGTATTGTTCACTCTGTTTCCATATAATGGTGATTCCAGGGTAGAATAGGTCTTCAGCAACCCATGCTTGCCGTAAAAGGTGACTATGCTTGTCGTAAGAGGCAACTAACGGGATCGGGTGGTAAGGCTTGCTGACTTGGTTGATGCATGTCATCGATCCCAATTGGGTGGATCGATGCTCATGATGTTAATCACTGGATTGTCTGGTCCAGACTCGATTATTTACAGACTGCCGTCATATAGCTGGAATATTGCTGGGTGCGGCGTTAAGCAACAAACCAACCAACCAACCTTATAATGGTGATGGGGCTGGGGGCAAGTGTTCAGGGAATTCACCAATGTTTGGATGCATAGCGAACTTTCAGAATATGATACGAAACATGATATGTCTACCCATGTATTGATCCATGTGTGGATCCATTATCCATTCTCAAGAAGTAATATATGTATAGTTTGGCCATGACCTGTCCTGATACATTTTCTGGCCTGTGTTACCATACCAATAATCATGAAACAATGGGTCTATATTTACCATGTCGCTATAGAAGTGCAATAATCTTGAACGTGATCTTAAATCCCATTTCAACTTATCTATGTTAACAAGTCATCTGAGTTAAGCACGAACTGGTTCATAGCAACATCTTGTTAGCAGGGCCGTAACGAACATGGATAATTTCACAAAAATACAGCACAAGATAGGAATTGTGATAAATATAGATTAGCACCCTCCTTAAGGTGTGATATGGACTTTCAACACCAGATGTGCGCTAACTGACTTATACCATGTGGTCTACAAACGCGACTCGACCCGTGAAGATCTAGGGTGGAATAGGTCTTCAGCAACCTATGCTTGCCGTAAGAGGCAACTAATGGGATCGGGTGGTCAGGCTCGCTATCTTGGTTGATATGTCATCGTATCCCAATTGCATAACATAAGCCCATTCTCAATGACTTTTTCAAGTAAAGAATGTTTTAATGTGTATTTAATTCCAGCCCATGTCAATATTTCATGTACAGTGAATGTGTACATGAATAATAATGAATGATCATTGCTTTTCGTTTTGTCTTCACTTGTCAAACTTTTTGTATTCTGTATTATCCGGACCTCACCAGACTTTTTTACCAGTCCCAACTGAGTCCAAATTGGACCGATTCCTCTGTGTAAGTATTGATACATGAGGTTGTTGTATCATAACACCCCAAGGATTGTAATTATAGCAGCTTGTTATGTATTGTCGTACATCTTTTACAGGCCACAATCGAGATTGGTGCTCTGTGGGGTGGAATTGTGGCAACAATTATCACCTTCCATCCCGTCAACCGGACGGCCTCGTACCTCCTCATCCCCTACCTGGCATGGGTCTCCCTGGCCGGCTGCCTCACGTACAACATCTGGCGCAACAACAAGGACCGCACCGACTGAACAGTCAAGCCTGCCCTTGCTGGAAGTGTCACCATGACGAGAGGAACCCACAGCTCCTGCTGGAAAATGTCTTGAGAGATACTCGTCTTTCCAGCGCTTTTACACTGTATTAGATGTAGATGTATTGTAATCTCACAACAAATGCTCACTTTACTGCCTTATATTACACTGTTCTCTTTCTGAAAATATGGGGCAGTTGGGTAGCCCAGTGGTTAAAGTGTTCACTCGTTCGAAGACCCGGGTCCGATTCCCAACATGGGTACAATGTGTGAAACCTTTTTCTTGTGTCCTCCGGCGTGATATTGCTGGAATATTGCTAAAAGCGGCATAAAACCATACTCACTCACCCACTATTTAAAGTGCAGGTCACTATTAACAGTGATAGTTATGAATGAATGTCCCCATTAAAGTAATCCCTGCGGTACATGGGGGCGCTTCAGTAACCCATGCTTGTCATAAAACGTGACTATGCTTGTCAAAAGAGGTGACTTACAGGATCGGGTGGTCACGTTCACTGTCTTGGTTGATGCATTGCGTTGTATCCCAAGGTAGATCGATGCTCATGATGTCAGTCACTGGATGGGTCTCGTCCAGACTGGTACATTTACAGACCGTCATATGAGTGGAATATTGCTGAGTGCAGCATTACAGACGAATACATGAGATAAGCAATAATGCTGTGTTTGTTGTATGTGCTGACCATGCTTGTTGTAAGAGGCGACCAACGGGATCGGGTAGTCCGGCTCGCTGACTTGGTTGATGCATGTCATCGTATCCTAATTGCGTGGATGGATGCTCATGATGTCAATCACTGGATTGTCTGGTCCAGACTCGATTATTTACAGACCGCCGTCATATAGCTGGAATATTGCTGAGTGCGGCATAAAACAACAAACCAAACCAAAACCAAAACCCTACCCCAGACCAGTGGTAGCCATGGTCTGAGAAACAGTGTGTGAGGACAAGCTGACGGGAGATTACCAGCAGTCAGAAGAGGGGAGCAACCCAGCCATATCTCCTACTCAACTCACCTCCTACAGGTCCATGTGCCAAGAACCCAATATTTTCTGTCCAAGAATGTGATAACACATGAAGGCATTGCTAACTGTAACTCTAGTCACACCAAGTCACTATTCTATTGGCTAATGATCAATACTGCTTGTCAGCAACATAGAACAACATGATCCTCAAAAATACCCTAAGCTAAACCTGTTGATAATTTATTTAATCTTAAAATAATCATTTTTCAGTTATAACCCAATATTAACATGATGTGGGCTTGTGTTTCTATGACATAATGTATGTATCTTACGGTCTTATGCAACATTGTCTTACATTTCTCCCTTCCTTCTTATCTTCTCCTCTGCCCCCGTCCCCCTCTCATTATGTGGATACACCAATTTCAAGTTTCATTTTATTTATAAGTCAATTCAGGGACACTATCCCATAAAACAAATGTCAGTTTTCATGAAAAGGGGGAAAAAACAGTTATATCCTGGTGCTTAAAACTATTATTTCTTGTTGATGTGGAGAGTTCTGAAAATGCTTATGATATGAATCACTATATCTCCAAGTAATTGGTCAATCCAAGGCTGGCTTGTATATGTATGTTGAGATCAATTTAAGAAACAAATTTAACTTCATATTCATCATAGTGTTTAATGTGATTTTGTCCCTGTGAGCTGCAAATACTCCTGTGTTTAGTGACATAGTGTTACGATTGAGCATGTAGATTGTTGTTTTTTATTGATATATTGGTAACCAAGACATTATTTATATGAAACTAATTTTTTTTTTTTGTAGATTTATTTTATAACTGCTTACACACAGCAATACCTATTGCCATTCATGTACTCAACAAGTTCATTACAGCAAAATAGAAAGTTTTGTTTTGAAGTATTTGTTTTACTGGCATGTTGTGATCAGTAATAGTAATATAACTGTTGACCTAGCGTCTCACAGGCAGTTTGGGTTGTATACTCCCCAGGGAGCAGATAAATCTACAAAAGTCTACACACTGATCCATTAACTGGTAATAATGCACCGCTTTGAGCATTCATGGAGTGGAAATATAGAGCAATATATATGGCGGCATTATTATTATTATTATTATTATTATTATTCCACTGCCACAAATGTTACTTATAAGAATGTGCCTTAATCTCATTTTGTGAGGAGTAGTTATATCTTATCACTGGATACTTAAAGTCAGTCAAAAGTATGTACTGGAGCTTGTTTTATGTTTGTTGGTCAGATAGGAATAAAATATTTTATGTATGGTATGTTATGTTATTATGTGTGTATTTATACAGACCTTGGTGAGATGTTGAGGTCATTGCACGCTCAGGATGAAGACCTGAGTTGGAATGATCACTCACTCACCCTGTGGGGGGGTAGACACCATGACTTAGACCCAACTGCTCTGCAGGTCAAAGTGGAAGTGGACAAGTGTATGGTGTCACATGACTAGATTTTGGTCACCAATGTGCTGACCCATGAAGATCCGGGGTAGAATAGGTCTTCAGCAACCCATGCTTGCCATAAAAGGTGACTATGCTTGTAAAAGGCAACTGAGGGGATCAGGTGGTCAGGCTGGCTGACTTGGTTGATGCATGTCTTCGTATCCCAGTTGGGTGGATCAGTGCTCATGATGTCAGTCATTGGATTGTGATATCAATCACTGTTCAATATCGGTATCACAGTCCGACAGTTTGATGGAAACTAAGCTGGTCCATGTATCTGTAGGTCATGTTAGGTGTGGGTGTTGAAGGATATTGTCTCAGTCTGTAAGCAACACTGATGGGACTAGTCACAACACAATCTATACCATTTCTTTAGTCAACTGACCGTCTCCTTGGTCTAGTGGTTGAGCACCTGCCCCGAGAGAGGAAGTTCCAGGGTTTGATCCCTTACCACATGATACCAAAAGACGTTAAAAGATGGTACTTGTTGTTACCCTGTCTGGCACTCTGCATTAAGTGGCTCGGAGTCAGTATACTTTGAGTGGGGTATTCATGTTAAACTGCGGCATGGTATCTCAGTGGACAAGCACTATTAATTGGCATCAATCCAGACTAGTACAAGCAGCAAAACACACACACACGCACACATGCATGCACATCGCTATATAAGTGCAATAATCTTGGACGCGACATTAAACCCAATTTCATCTGCCCTCGCCTTTCAGTCAACTCCATACATGTGTGAAACTTCAGAAGTGTGCATGTCTCCTGTAATTACTGTATCTGTCTCCCTTTTCACTCCATTCCCAATCAAAGACTGTCTATACAATGAGTTTCTTTATTTTTACTATACTATATTTTTAAAGAAACATCAACAGTTACACATGCAAACGAAATATACTACTCACAATAAGTTAAGGATCACCCGATTCTTTCATATTGGTAAAGTTAATCTGCCATGGCATGAGAGATTAACTATTATAATATGGAAGAATCAGGTGATCCTTAACTTCTTTTGAGTAGTATATGTAGCTGTGTATTTGACATGCCAAACCCGACTCCGTGGTCTTGAGGACAGAGCCTCTACCGGAGAGCGGAAGGTGAGTGGTTCAATACCCAGCTTCCCCATACAAAAAGATGGTGCTTGAATTTGGCTCTGATTCAGTATATTGTGTCTGACTGGGGTGCCCATGTTAAACTGTGGCATGGTATCACGGTGGGCAAGCACTTCAAAACCAGCATTAGTCTGGAATAGCTTAAGCACAGGCACATGCACGCACACACAAACACGTACACACTCGCACACACACACACACACACATACACACGCATAAATGCAGGCACTTTGCTAGATATTAAAGTGCAATAATCTATAACTCAACTTTAAACCCAGTTTCATCTGACCCACCTCCGATCAGCCAAATGTACAACGTTCATTCAACACAACCCAATGTACAATGTTCATTCAACACAGCCTAATGTACAATGTTCATTCAACACAGCCTAATGTACAACGTTCATTCAACAGAGCCAAATGTACAACGTTCATTCAACTCAACCCCAATGTACAACGTTCATTCAACTCAACCCAATGTACAATGTTCATTCAACAGTCTTATGTACAACGTTCATTCAACAGTCTTATGTACAACGTTCATTCAACACAGCCCAATGTACAATGTTCATTCAATACAGCCCAATGTACAACGTTCATTCAACACATCCTAATGTACAATGTTCATTCAACAGAGCCAAATGAACAACGTTCATACAACACAATATGTAATACACATCCATACGGTGTTTGTGTCAATGTTAATAAGTATATTATATTGAAATAGATTATTTGTTATTAACACGATGCCCTCTCGATATGCTTATTCTGATAACACTAGCTCGATTAGTTTGATATATACGTTTGTTCTGATGGCAATAGGTTTGGCATGTGGATACTAATCGTCATGTCTCAGCTGTTGCTACTGTGAGAGACAATGACACAGCAGCTGTTAATCGTGCAGTTTATCCTTGCTTTCTGTCATTCCCATTCATAAATAAAGTCATAACATCACACAATACAACACGTAGATTGTAAAGGTTCACAATATAGCTATATCTAACCAGCTGAAACACGCTTAATGCATTCAGCCTATAGAATTGTCAGTCCTTATACTTGGCGACGGCTTGCACCTGCAATTTTGTATACACTACAAATATATGTATGTGAATCCCTTTTCCAATGTGATTCGGGCGGTCGGGTAGCCTAGTGGTTAAAGCTTTCGCTCGTCACGCCGAAGAATCGGGTTCGATTCCAGATATGGGTACAATGTGTGAAGCCCATTTCCGGTGTCCCCCGCCGTGATATTGCTCAAATATTGCTAAAAGCGATGTACAGCCAGCCATACTCACTCACTCCAATGTGATTCAATTCTTGAAACGATAAGCGTACATGTGCATACTGTGAGTGAGTGAGTGAGTGAGTGAGTTAAAATTTTACATCCCATCGGCAGTATTGCAGCCATATAGCGATGAGAACAAGGTAGTTGCTATAATTAAAGACCCGTCGACGAAGGACAGTAAAACAGTAAGGTGAATATCACAGTTTAGATATAAAACAAACCTAAGCGATAATAAAACAAAGATTTTTTAGTAGATTAGTTCCTATAACTTAAAACCAGGTTATCGACCACTAGCAACCAAAGCTGGACCACCTCACTGGGAATCATGGCGACTTGCAGTGGTTTTGCTTCCTGCATGATTCCCGGCACTTTGGTCACCAGTGGTTGTGTGTAATACTGACCAATATTAAAAATAGAAGCACAATCAATACATTAAAACACTAGTTGATATTAATCACTTCAACATAGATGCACTCACGTGCCACTGTCAGGAAGACAATAATTTTACACTACGTTAACCCCGTGAGTGGCACAGCCTTCAATAGGTTCAGTTGTAAATAACATCACACTATTTTAAAACATTCAATTAAACGAGCATTGATATTTATAAAAAGATCCTTTAAAGAAGTTGAATGATAATAGGTATCCCTTGTGAGAGAAATGTCTATACAGTCAAGCAAAGAATGCTTGACTGTAATTCTATCATCACAAGGGACACAAAACGGAGGATCCTCACCTTTAAAGAGAGAGAGTGAGTATGGCTTTACGCCGCTTTTAGCAATATTCCAGCAATATCACGGCGGGGGGCACCAGAAATGGGCTTCACACATTGTACCCATGTCGGGAATCGAACCCGTGTCTTCGGCGTGACGAGCGAACGCTTTAACCACTAGGCTACCCGACCGCCCCTCACCTGTTAAGAGATATCCATGTGTGTAACGACTTGGAAGAACCTCGTCATGTCTGGACTGCCACCCCAAGTAGGTGTAACCTAATTTGGGTTTAAATTCATGAAGTTTATTTGTACCTACTTGGGTGTCCCATCTTTTCTGCATCAAACTAAGAATATATTCCTTGATGCCTTGTTTAAAATCACTGTAGGGAATGGTAACATGGAACATTGGTTTATTAAGAGCTGCTTTAGCTGCAGCGTCAGCTCGCGTGTTTTCAGCAATACCAGCATGACTAGGCAACCAACAAAGGACGATGTCGTATTGGCCAGTAGCACGGTTATTATAAAGTTCTAAAATATCAAGTATTAACGGGAGATTCGAGTTGACAGTCTCAAGTGCCTGTAGGCATGATAAAGAATCAGTGAAAATGATGAAGTGTGTACATGCAGTTTGTTTCTGAATATATGTCAATGCTGTTTGAATGGCTTTAGCTTCAGCAGTAAATATTGAGCTGTTATCAGGTAATCTAGAAGAAATAGTTTTTGAACCAATGATGGTGGCACTGGCAACTTTGCTATCAACCTTAGATGCATCTGTGAAGATGGAACGGTGAGAATTGTATTGAGAGCGAAACTGGACATATTCTTGTTGAAAAATTAGCTGGTTTGTATCAGATTTTTTAAAATTAGTAAGTGTAAGATCTACTTCTGGTTTGACTAATTGCCAAGGAGGCGTGGACAGTAAACGGTAGGGTGCAATAATATCAAGGTCAATATGAGCTGCTGTTATATGCGGTTGTAACCTGATCCCCAGAGGTGGACCCAGCTTCGGTTTAGTGTGGAATAATTCCTCCTAGAGAGGATTAAAAATGCAATCATATGCTGGATTTGATTGGTTTGATTATAATTTTGTGATATATTGTAGCGCAAGTTTTAAACGACGTTGTTTCAACGGAGGCTCATCAGCCTCAACATATATACAGACTATCAACAGGAGAGGCCCTGAAAGCTCCAAGACAGAGTCTCATGCCCTGGTGATGAATTGAATCTAGTTTCTGTAAGTTACTTTTACAGGCTCCACCATAAATGATGGAACCGTAGTCCAATTTTGAGCGGATCAAAGGTCTGTACAAATGGAGGAGGGTTGGAGCGCAAACGGGCAAATGTAATAGAATTGTCATCTCACTGCGTAGTGATTCACGAATATGTTCCCCATATATATATTCCAAATGCAGTTGAAAATCACACCGGGACTTACAGTCTTATACAGTATGATTGAACAGATTTAGCTGCATCTTTGGTATATTTTTAGTAAAATCAAATTATTTTTGAGGGATTCTTTGACCGAAGTACTTTAAGTCATATACGCATTCTGGTTGGTTTGTTGTATTTTCGCACATAACATTCATCGATGGGGGACGAGTCCTCTTGCAGGTTACGGAAAGAGGCGAGCGGTGACGAATGCCTTCTGTTGCCTGATCCGTATCACATACCTTTAAGGTTGTTTGTAAACTTAGATTCCTTCGAAAACG